TAAGCATTCGGCTACCGCTGCCTTGTTTATTGTTCTATCGTTATTGTATATTTGTAGTAAATTAGAGATCTTACTCAAACGCGTAAGGAAAAGGATTCTTCGCTGTGAGGTTGAAATAAGAGTTCACGGCTTTCGTATGCCACACGAAAATTTCCTGTTCTCCCTCCTAAAGGTCAACAATACGAGACTGTCTGATCTTCCAAAGTTTATATTCTTAGAGTAGCTAGCTCACCTTTCCTTCTGCACCGAATACTTCTATATCTCCTCTTGTAAAGCCAAGATCTTCAAGAAAGCACGTTTCCGGGCCCAGCGCTGGATTACAGCGCTTTGTGTTGAACGTTGAGCTTAAATACATATAACGTTAATTGCAGTGAAGAGGGGAAACCTCTTCAATTTTGACTTCTGAAGTATTTGGGAATCTGTAATCTCCAGTAAGGACCTCCATCATGATGAAAGGGAAACATTTTACTTCCTATGTAGTTGCACAGCTGCACAACTGTATGACATGCCTCAATTCTGGAGTTCTTATGTTTGTAGAGAACATAGCAGACAAACGGCTAATGTAGCTTGACTCATGTCAGCATGTAAATAAACCCACAACTAAAAATCATCATTCGATGTCACTACCTCATAGTAATCTATGTAGGGTTAGGCTGCGTTCACACCGTGCGACGTCGTCGTCAACGTCGACGAAAGCTGCGTAAGTTGCGTAACCGACGACTACTTCGCGAAGATTAGATACGTATCGATTCGACGACGCAACTTACGCAGCTTTCGTCGGTTTCGTCGAATCGATAGGTATCTAATCTTCGTGAAGTAGTCGTCGGTTACGCAACTTACGCAGCTTTCGTCGGATCGATACGTACATAAACCGGGGCCAAAAAAAAGAGTTTATTCCGGTCGCGATCACATATGACAGTGAAGTTATGCCGGAAGTTTTCCGCCAGCCTCAGGCAGCAGGAAGTGGATATGAGTACGCAGGGGCGGACAGATACCCAAGGATCTTCCTACCGATAAACAGGAGCCGCTGCGCGCCATTCACCGCTCATGTAGCACCTAAATATGAGTCATCTCCAGTCCGGCCTGAGTGAGAAACGCCCCTTAGAATTCACGTGCGCCTCCAAGCGCTGCGCCAGCCTCTCTCTGATTGGAATCACAGCCATGGATAGTTACGCTGAAGATCAGTACTCTTCGATCTGCCAAAGACCTCCAAACACCCTGACGCCACTCCCGCAACTCGCTACGGTCCAGGACATCATCTTCACCCCATTCACCAAGGCGCGGGTTGATGGTGTGGACCGGCCGTACCTGGAATGGATGAACCGATATTTTCTTCGTGGGCCCCAGACTGAGGGTGTGCGCTGGTGGCTACATCGAGCAACTCGAGGAGAATATCCCATCTTCATGTCGTCGCCCGTACCTTCTTGGAAACTTTGTACTGCTTGGGTGACAACACATTTAATCGAAGGGCGTTGGAAAAACTTTCGCCTACTTGGAATGGAAGATATGAATGAGTACTGGAAAAGATGGAGTATTTAAGCGGGGGTCCTGAACTAAACCCCCTCAATTACTCGGTTCGGGCGGAGCTCAACAGGGTGGTCTACAGTGGCGGAGAAATCAACGATCTCGCTCAACTCCGGTACCCACTCACTTTCGCGCGGCCGAATCTCTCGATGGCGCTCCTCCAGAAGGCTGTGGCGGAGTATCATTATAGTATTTAATGTGCTCTTTAATATGGTAGTAAAATGTGTCCGATAAAAATTTAATAAAGTGTAACTTATAGCGCCTTGAAAGTCATGGAGGCAAAATGACTTTTTTTGCCCCCCCCCCTGTATAATGCTATCACGAAACTACTCCGCAGAAAACGCAGGTTACGTCGACGTTGACGACGACGTCGCACGGTATGAACGCAGCCTTAGGAAAACGAAAAATGCAGTTGAGGAAATAATGCAACATCGCAAAAATTTGATAGACCTTATGACAGAATGAGTAAAGCATCAGTAAAAAGCGTAAGATATTGGTCCTCTGACCAGCTGAAAGCAGATGGTTCTCAGTATGACCAAGTGACAGGGCGTTTGAAAGAGCGTGAATAACGCAACGAGAGCAGTATCCCGCCAGTTGTTGCGGAGTCAGTATGGCCCAGTGTTAGAACAGGGTGGCCTTGAACAGCCCTCCAATCCACTTCTCTCATGCAAACCCGTCGTTGCAGGGAATGACCACTGTACTTCTTAAAGACCGCATGGAACCCATTTGCGAAGACTATGTCTGCTATTCCGGGGAGACTCTGCCCTTATCCCCCTTTGTCAGAAATGGCTCGCTTCGTTGATCGAGGCCGCCTCTCAAAAAGCAGACGACAGCATACGAGCAGCTCAAAACGGTTGTTCTTGGCAATGCAGTTTTGAGAAACATTGGGTATTCCAGAGTACACCCTTGAACAGTCACTTTTTTCCGACTCTTGATTTTTGCAAACCAATAGTTTGAGTAATGATTCCCACTATTTGGTTTCTTCACAGCGATACTGATCCGTTTCAGGCGTTGTCTGATAAGCTTGTGCTACTTTCGAAACTTCAAAAAAGTGGAACTGCCAAAGCTGTGGCAGCGAGTATATAGGGGAAACAGGACGTCCTCTCCGTGTGCGGGTCAAAGAACATCTGGAGGGACTTAGTAGGTCGCGAGCCTATACCCCGCTTGGAGCCCATCGGGTTCAACATCATGAAGGCACGACATTCGACGTGTCGGTGACCATATTAGCGCAGGAGGCCGAGATCACAGCGCGTAAGACATTGGAGGCATTCTGGATTACGGCAAAGGACCCTCAGATGAATAGAAAGGGAGAGTGTGTGGCCATAACGCGTGAGCTGGCGCCCTTCCTCGACCTTTGCAAGTTTTGATCTACCGTGAGGTTGAGGAGGGTTAGTAGTACTGGTTACTTCTCGATTGAGTGTTCCTCAGGGTGGTCGACCCCGCATAGCGGCGGCTGATCAGGTGAGCCATAATACTATTGATTGATATCGTTGGGTGCTTTACTAGTCTAGGGAAATTGTCTTGAGATTGTTTAGGCGCTTGAGCGGGCAAGTTGCATCTGTTTTTTGTCCATTTCAGGCTCAGACGAAGGCGAAGACGCCGAAACGTAGGCCTAGTAATAAAGCCATCCAATCTTGTACAGGCTTGAAGACATACGAAAAGGATATTGGTAAAAGATAAAAGTTGTGATGTCTCCAAAGTGAAATATTGACTCTAATCAGTGCTACACAAACCGCAGGGCAAATTTCAAATTGATTGCGAAGCCAGCCATGTCGACGGCAAACTTTCGCGTTTGTGGCCTCTCACGCGTGAAAGCCAACCACTGTGCCATTAACAGCTTTTGGATATTCCACTGGAAATCCGCCGGACAACCTAAAATATATTTTTTTACACATTTTCCATAGAGCAGCAGTATAGTTAATACTAAACGAAAGAAATGCTCACCCACAGCCCACATTCCCAGCTTCTTCACATTTCGTACGTAATCAGTAAAAACGCGTGTGTCATAAGCGTTATCATCATCGGCAAAGTAAACGACAGCAGAACGATATTTCTCCAGTATATGAGCGGAAATACTCCGGAGATACTGCAAAGCCACAGATCGCTGATACCATCCACGCCCTGCAATGATTTTCGGTAGTCTGGATCAATGAAATCAGCGAACCTGTTCAACGCAGGGTCAGCTGGCTGCGTTGCTGCTGCTCATATCTGCGTCCCCTCCCCTGACCAAGGTTTAAACTCGGAGCACAAATGACTAGAGTCGAGCAGAGGGTATCTGCTTTGTAAGGAGCGAAAAATCTGAAAAGTCAATTGCCGCCGTGCTCCACTTGGGAATATTTAATACTAAGCTGTGTGGAATGAATTTATTCATTTATTTATTTATTTATTTATTTATTCATACACTGCGAGAGTGTGCTGTTACAATCACTGAAGAACAAACACATTTTAAATTACAATTGAGGAACATGGGAGAATATCTTAGCAATTTTTTGCAATAACCATGAACTGTTTACTTGACTCGAAAGGGGTAGAATGATATACAGATCATTGAGTCTTTGAGCGATAAGCAAGCCGTTAACGCGCTCGAAACTGCTACCAAGTCCACATGCCCTATTTTTTTGCAACAAAGGAAGTCCTGAGGAGTAGACGTAAAGATCAGTCAACACAGGGAATTGATCCTTCATACAGAAGAAGGACATACGAGTCAAAATCGATGACATCGTTGTTGTAAAGTGTGTGATTACCAAATCCCTCGTTCCAGTGTTACATATAGGAAAAGTCGGACACTATGCTCACAAGGGCATGCAAAAGCCCATGTGGGTCCGACGAGTGGATGCGTGGATAGCAGAAACGAATATAAATAGGAATTGTTAGAAAAGGGACGTTACCTGGGTAGTTCACAGGTGTTTTCGCAGCCATATAGGTGAAAGGTAACGTAGATCGTTGAAGGATTCTTCCAACGTAGGGTACTGTTGCGTTTCCATCCTCGATGACTATCCAGTATAAATGAGGAATTAGACGTAGTGTATTCGCCATTCTAAAAACTATTCACTCCAAA